TAGAGAAATAACATGAATGAATGAAATTCTATCATTAGGTAATCATTAGGAGATGTATTTTTAAAAAGGGATTTAAAAGTAGCTCCCTCTGAGTGAAAGGAATGCATTTAATTGAATGATTAAGTCATTACTAAAATTGTATTTCATACAGTTAAATATAGTTCTATGCCACCTGAAGAACCAAGCTCTTTCCTACATACTGTGGAATATGCACCAGCCAACTAACAATGTAAAGGAACGGAGATTTGTTCTCTGCTCTGCCGTTAGCTCCAGACAGAACCAACAACCCAAAAACTATTATCAGACCTGAACATGCTTAATTTTGGAATCAGAAACAATGACAGGGAGTTACTAAGTATCAATTATTTATTCCCAAGAGAAAACAATGAACAACAGTAGGAAAAGTTTATCAGAAGGGGAAATGCAATAAATTTGTGGAATCTCTTACGAAAATTCTAACACTGAAATTTCAGAATGGGAATCATGACAAATATTCATTTGACAAGAAGTACAACATCTTTAAATCTGCCCTTAGAAATATTGTAAATGGATTTCATAGTAAAACACGTTTGACTTGGCCCTATTAGATGCTAATAAGAACCTTAAATTCCATTATTATTAAAAGAGAGTAAAAAATGTAAAACTAGGACATGCTTCCCCAGCAGAAAGCTGTAGAAACTCTGTCCCATACAAAGCTTCAAGATAAAAGAGAAACTGGTCTCCAGGGACATTCACTTTGTTGCCATAATGGAAGTTCACAGAGGTCACATTCATTTACTTTAAAATTTTTTTGGTAACAGTGAACCAGGTCAAGATGAACCATGGGTCTAGGATCATTATTGGAAACATAAACCACCTAAGTATCAGTATTAGAAATAGGTTGATTTAATATAAAAGCTAGATTAGTCAGAAAATAAAATTACTGAAAAATAGTCATGGGCCCTGGCTGGTTTGGCTCAGTGGATAGAGCATCGGCCTGCAGACTGAAGGGTCCCAGGTTCGATTCCGGTCAAGGGCATGTACCTTGGTTGCGGGCACATCCCCAGTAGGGAGTGTGCAGGAGGCAGCTGATCCATGCTTCTCTCTCATTGATGTTTCTAACTCTCTATCCCTCTCCCTTCCTCTCTGTAAAAAATCAATAAAATATATTAAAAATATTGCCATGGTAGGCAGAAGCATTACAGTAGAAACCTTACCCTCAAAGAAATCTAGAAAGATATTTTTCTCTGACACATTTATAAATTTGTATTAATATACTAATGTACATTAAAAGTTAGCTAGATAGGTAGTAAGTTGGAATGTAAAAAATGTTCTTTTTTTAAGGGCAATTAAGGGAAACATTGCCCAATAGTAAAAAAAATAAAAAGAGACTGAAAGTTCTTGGTGTTCCTAAAATTAATAATCGCATAAAGAAATGATACTGTTCTCGAGTGCTAATAGGATGTTTCTGGCATTAGGATATGATTTTTTTTTGTAGAATGAACTGGTTTATGATGTTACAAAAGATAACATAAATTCTTCTTTTAATCTTGAGTTATGTATTAACCTGGAAGACAACTATAACTCTAAATTATCTATAAGGAAGTAAAGTAGATGTGTTTTCAGTCCAATTAGAATACTGCAATTTTAAAACCAAGGATGGTTTTTAAAGAGAGAAAAATAGTTCATGAAGAACTGATCCTAAGTTATTAATTAAAACTGCTTTTCAAAAATAATTCTTATAGTATTTTCTCTTCAAATGAGTAATTGAGTAAAACCTACCACCACTCTTCATTTGGAGTTGAAAAAAAAATAGAATTAACAGTCCCCAATAAATTTTAAATAATCTGGTCATTAGAATATGTGAATGTGTGTGCATATAGGCACATACAAATTTGTTCATAACTGTAAAAGTTAAATGACATGTACTTCAAATGAAATAAACATGTCTAAATTAACCTCTCCTTTAAAGAGATCTCAGTAAAAGAATGAGAAAAATGTTGGGGAATAGCATTCTCCAGTCATTTAACCTATTCATTGAGTGTGACAGTTTTTCCTGCTTTCTTACTCTTTATCAGTCTAACCCACAAGGCAGATCTGTCTAACAAATTTAAGGTATTGTATGCCTTTACCAATATTTGGACCAAGTTAATGTCTTATATATTTCAATTGAAACCAAAATTTTAAGGGAAGCCTTATTTGTGGAATAGAAACACTGATGTCTACTATTCTATCAATAAAGGAATTAGAACGCATTGTTTTCTAAAGTCCAAAGCAACAATAGAATAAAAAGTAAAAAAATAGAATGAAATCAAGATGAGTAATGTAAATTGGCATATTTATTTCTACAAGGTCTTAAAGCTCCATATTTAAGAAAGAAAACAAGTAGATCAAATTCAAAAAACATATGTATTTTCAGATATCAAAGAAAATTTAATCTATGATAAAACATTCTTATGTAATCATTTGATTACATATGCATCCACAAAACAATATTTTATAATAAAATTTGTTATATATTTTATTTGGCTTCCATTATATAAGGCTTTATTTTTGCTGTTCTTCCTACTGTCCTGTGCTGATAAGGGAAATATGGAAGTTGAAAGAAGAAAGGGAGAGAAAACATTCTAAAAAAGAAATATGGTAAAGATTTATGTGAGAAAAACAGGATCTATTCTACCTTCTTAATCTTTTATTTCTACATATACCAGTATATCAGTGCCTCCCATAACTGTTGGAACAATCTCTCAACAGACAATGTTAAATATATTATTACTTTCATAATTATTAAGTGCTTGAAGACTGTGCCAAATTAACAATTTATAAAATATGCTTTAGAACTATGCTTTTAGTTAATGAATATACTAGAAGCTGTGAAAATGAAATCCTTTCAGATTGTCAGTCTTGCTCAGTACTTATTTTCACCTGGAACATTCCTGACTTCCCAAACTCTTTTTTAAAATAATAACTTGATGGATGTTGACTCTGTCATTATCATTCATCTGTACTAAAACTAGAAAGAGGGTAAGTACACAGATATATCTCAACATCTCTCTTAATGTTTCTCCTAAATTACCATCAGTGTGACATTATTCTCTTTAGGGACTAATGGGTATGTTTCTTTGTTTTCACTCTGTGAACTGGTGGAAGCCACCAGCTTAACATTTTGATCAAATAGGAATTCTAAGTTTTCAAATTGCTCATACTTAGCAAAATTTCTATTAACTATCAGAAAACTTTGTCTCTGATCCTAGCTCTACTTGTAACTAGTTGTGTGATGTTGGGCAAGTTATTAAACTTGGCTTGAATCCATCCATTTCAACATTTGGTCTTTATAACAGAGCATAAAGTCCACATTATATACACAGTGTTCATAATTGTGAAATAATTCCAAAAAAATGAATGGAAGATGATGATTACATTTAAGTGGTCAAACAAAGCTTACCCATCTACATATTTAAATATGGGTTTAGATACAATTTTGCAATTCTGGTTAACAAAGGACTCTCTCAGTCTCATAAAAAAAATTGTAAAAATTTAGAACTATTGGTACCTTCATCAAACTATAGTGAAATCAAGTGATTTGCAATGGGCCACATCACTGATTATGGAATTGTGCCTTATTTATGAGAACTTGCCATAACATTTTTGTTATAATAGGTTTTCAATAATTAAAACATTTTAAATCTAGATAATCTGATACCATCAACTAAAACTATATTCAAAGTCATCACACTTAGATAAACATGGAAATCTAATTAACAATTTTAAACCTTTGAGCAACCACACTCCTGGTAGAACATATTCCATTAGAAATATGCTTCTAATAATTACAGTTAAGGAAAGTGAAGACTTTGGTTGGATCATCTCATTGATATATCGCTCTCACTGAGGCTGTGATCAGTTCATTGAAATCTCAGGGAGAACAAGAATGAGTAAACCCTGTGGTCTATATAATCCAGGGAAAAGACATTAAATGTACCTGACCCAATTAAATACAACGGAATAAACTCTGTTGACAAAGAAGTCTAAACATGATTAACAAACGAATGAAATAATTTTGACACCTTTTCTTCCGTCATTTATGATATTCACTTTTAATAAAATATATTGGATTCCCAAGGTAAAGCTTCAAGAGTATGATGAATGTTTCCCCAGATAATCTGACTGCAAATCTAATAGTTGCCTCCAGATGAATGAAGTTACACAGGGTTGAATTCATAGATCCATGACTCAGGTTCCTTTCCTTGCTAGTCACAGCGAGTATATATTGAACACTTACTATTTGTCTTGACACTACCCTAAAGCCATCATCCATGACTTCATTAAATCCTCATAAACGCTCTGTGAAATAAGTGCTTCTAGAAAAAGAATTTTCAGGAAGGGATACAAATTCTGTCCAAGTTCATGACACTAGTGAGTGGTAGAGACAAGACATCACTGGCAAGGTATTTTTTCCTTCTGTTACCAATACAACCGCTTTCTTTGTTCTTTATTGATGCTGCTTATCATTGTAAATTTCCACATAAGAAAAATATGGAGGTTATAGAGCCCACTGTCAATATTAAAGGTAAGATTCTACTTGAACACCAAATCGTATGTTCCCTAACTTCAACCTTTATCGCACATGGCTCTTGAACATACTGCAAAAATTCTTACTGCCATGACTAACTGAAAACCCACTCTACCTTTCTGCTTTGGTTTCCCTGCACCTCTGCCATTAAGAACACATTTACAGGTACATTTTAAATATGAAACAACAGAGAAAATGAAACATTTCTAACATTAATTTCCCTTCAATATGGGATGAAAATTGCGGTCAGCTTGCTTAGACTGAAGCTGCCTGACACAGGAGGGCCCATGACAGGGCCACCACTGTATGATTCTCCTGGCACTGGAGACAACATGAATTAGGCTGAAAGTAATTTTTACTCTAGCTCATATCAATCAGGTACATCTAAAAATGAGAAACAAATATGCATTTTTTAGTTGGAAGAATGTATGAAATTATGATTTCTGACCTGGATCTGTTGCTGAAGCAAATTGATTTTGTGTTGTTGCTGTAGAAGTTGCTGCTGTTGTCTGGCAATCTGTGGAGAAATAGCACATGGAAAAATTCAAAGTGTATTTATTATAGTCCCATGGGGAAACTACCAATGTTCTGTTTCTCAAAGTTTGATTTGACACCGATTACTAAGTTGATGCAAATAGAAATGCTTGTGCCTGTACAGTACCAGCGGTTCATCATTAAGTAGGATCAGTTAAGACATTCAATCTTCAGGAACCATTATGGTTCTTTTGGCCTAAGAGGAATGATGCCCGAAAACACTACACCAGTGATCTAATCCAGTATGAAATGTTCATTTCAAAAATCCCACTTCCTGGCAATATCTTAAGAAGATACTATCTCTGACATTTTCAGCTGTTTTCTATGAGAGTATTGATTAAACAGGGGGGGTTTGTGACCCAGGAATTCAGAGTAGCACAAACTATTGTAAGATGCTTTATATCTTACTGAGTTTTTATGTTTGTTGGTTGTTGTTTTTTGGTAAATACTGTCCTCATTTCTGCCTCTAAACTGCCATCTCCTCAACGTACTCCATCCTGATTCCTGCTCCCATCCGCAACTAAAATGATTCTTAATAAAGTCACCAGTCACTTCCAGTTTTTAAACTGTGAAGTGATTTTTTTAATCCTTACCTTTTGACCTTTCATCAGAATGCAACACTCAAGGCTTTCAGTGATTCCCGCACCTTCTTCCTTGACTTCTAGTACACCATGCTTCTAAGTACATTTTGCTTCTAAGTCCCAGTGTGTTCCTTCTCAGTCACCTTCAAAGGCTTATCCACTGTTGTGGTGCTATAGGCTTAATTTCAGACTCAATTCTCTTACCTCTATACCTACTCCCATATGTATGCCAAGTGCTTATAAATTTGTTTCTGCAGACTAGACCTCTGCTTCCAGCTTCAGACCCACTTAGCCAATGACATTCCCAAAGGTACTTCAACAGGTTAAAAACTAAACTTAGGATTTAGCCCTCAGTGTGGTCATCTGAAAGGTAGTCATCTGAAATGCCAGCAACTAGCACCGTCATCCGTTATTTGCTCTGATAATATCCTCTTACTTAATATGTACTATGGTATAGGTCATGCATATTTTGCTCACCATTTGCAAAATGCCTGAATAGTTAATGTAGAATGCTTGATTGACTAGATGAGAAGAGAATTTTAAAACGCCTTATTGCATGATAAAGGGTAGGCTACCTTCTCATGAGAATGTAACATAACCCTCTCATAAGTAAGCACTGGTTCTTATCCTTGCCACTGCCATTTTCATTGAAAAATGTATTTCCTTAAATTCAGTATCAGAAGGCTAAAAATTGAGGATAAAATACAAGCAGAGTCCTTTACTATGAATGAAAGAACCGGTATGAAGGGGGTGGGTCTACATGGCTGCACATTGAACTTTCAATTTCCCTTATGGACATCAGTACAACTATGTTTATTGTAATGTTTTCTTTTATCTTAGGAATATAGTAAAAACATTTTTTTCTGCAGAAAGGTAGAAAATGAGATAGTAGAAAAGGGAATGTCTTTTCTTCCTTAAGTTCCAGTTCTTTCCTCCCACACCCCAATATTTCAGTTGATATTAAGGATTTATCATGAAACTGACCACTTCATACCATTCCATACTTCTTCCTGTTCCAAGCTACTGTTCCCTCTTGCCTGGATTGTTGTGATAGCCTCCTGTTTGCTCTTTTTGCTTCTGCCCTTGTTCCCCACAACCTATTATAAACCAGCATCTGATGGCGAACCTATGACACGCGTGTCAGAGGTGACACATGAACTCATTTTTTGGTTGATTTTTCTCTGTTAAGTGACATTTACATATATAAAAGAAATATCAAAAATATAAGTCTTTGTTTTACTATGGTTGCAAATATCAAAAAATGTCTATATGTGACACGGCACCAGAGTTAAGTTAGGGTTTTTCAAAATGCTGACACGGCGAGCTCAAAAGGTTCGCCATCACTGCTCTGGAGAGATCCTCTGACAAGGTAAATTGTCATGTTATTCATCATTTCAAAACACTCTGTCTCAGAGGAAAGGCCATGTCATGCCTGCAAGCCCAATATAATCTAGCCTCCTATCTCCCTGATTTCATGTTCTCCTTCTCTTCCTTTGTCACTCCACTCTTGCCACACTTCTCTCCTGTCTCTTGAACACACCAAGGATGTTCCCACTTCCCGAGGCTACTCCAGCCTCTGAGCCTCTGCATTTGCTTTCCCCTCCATCTGAAACCCTCTTTTCCTAGATAACTGGTTCATTCACTCCCTCATCCCCTGTAATTCTTTACTCAACTATGACCCTGTCAATCAATAGGTCTTCCCTGATGACTCCCTTTAAAGAGCCCCTCTACCCAGCACTTTCATCCCTAACTCTCTGCTTTATTTTTTTCACCATAATCCTTATCAACATATACTATATTTTACATTTTAATTTGTTGTCTATCTCTTACCAATTAGAATTCAATACATGAGGGATTTTTGTCTGTTTCGTTCCTTGCCGGATCCCAGTAACTATAACAAAAGCTGAGATCAATGTGGTACCCAATAGATATTTGTCGAATGGATGAACGTGGAATGGAGGTCACGGTCTGGTGGAAAGGCTGATCAGCCAACAAGGACATTAGCATCTCTAGGGGCTGTCAGAGGAAGATTAGAGTGTGCAGAGGAGGCCTGTGCTGTGCTAAGTAGGGAGTGTTAAGAGGAGAGTCAGAAAAGAAACCCTCAAGAGAAGATGAACCTAACCTGTATCTTAAGGAATAAATACTAAATGTCATTCAGAGATATCCCTGTGTCCTGATGAAAAGAGCAGTGACCACAACAGTGTTGACTATGCATGTCAGAAACGCATGGAAGAGAGGACCTGGGAGAGCAGATGGGCTCTGGAAAGCTGACCTGCAGCCCTCAGGAGGGATCTTCTAGCAGGCTGAGCAGGCATCACTGCCAGGCATCTCTCCAATATAGGGAAGACACTCTAGACAAACTTAAGGATTTCTAGAGTTCAAAGGAGAATGACAGAGAAAGTAGAAAATTCTAGAACCTAGTGATGATATTTGGGGATGGGCCAGAATGTGAGAGAGAAAGAAAGGAACCTTGCTCTCCATTAGTGGCTGTTCAAAGTTTTAGGGACCCTCAAACCCACCAAGGTGGGGATTCTTTACAAAGAAATAACCCCATCTGAGCTACAGTTTCAGATGTGCCCAGAATTTTCTAGAATTCAGATGTCTGAAGGTACTGAAAGTTAAAAACATACATGACAAGACTGATGTTTCTCTAGACTGTCACAGGCTAGCATTCTCACCTGTTTTTTTTTTTTTTTTTTTTTTTTTTTGTGTGTGTGTGTGTGTGTGTGTGTGTGTTTGTTTTTGTTTTTTATAGGAAGGTAAAGAAAGAGAGATATGGGCCATGGCCAATAACAGGACAAATATATATTGAAAGAAAATGATGAAGCATTTCATTTAAAATAAAAATATCATCTTTCAAGCAGATATGAACCACCAAGTAGAGAGAATAAATTGAAAATAGGGGATCTCTTCAAATATATTCTGAATATTTCTTTACCCCTTTCAACTATGCTAGTTTACATTTTGAGAGCAGTTTGGAATGTTGGGGAGTACTGAATACCTCTGACTAAACAATGACTCTCCTCCAGTGTGAATGGTGAGTGGACTGAGCACAAAACATGGGACGTTAGCCCTCTAAACGATGCCCCATCTCTATATGGACAATTACCTTATGTATGCCCTCTATCTCCCCTTATTACTAGCAATTTTCCTTTAAGTAATAGTTCTTATGCTTTGTTACCAGTTTCTCACTACTTGTCAGTTCTTCTACATGTCATTTCTGACTGTCTGATTTCTTCTACAAAAGCTCCATAGAAGCCATACTATTAAAGCCAACAAGAATCTAAATGAAAAATATAATAGATTCCTGGTTCTGAATTTGTTCATTTTCCTCTCTCTAGCAGCTGTATACCAGTATCTCCAAGGATCTACCGTTAGTTCATGTCCATTTTCTCATGATTTCACCCCTTCTCTAAGTCAAGGCCTATACACCTGCTATTTCTCTGTATGGAACACTCTGGGCTCAAGATATTAATATGGCGGTGTCTTGTGTGTCATTTCAATCTGAGCCTAAATGCTTGACCAAATCACCCTAGCTAAGAAATACTGGCTTGACATACAAGTAACTATTTATCAAATTATTCTTCTTATATTTCTTCAAATATC